AACTGGACTTTCATCTACCTCATACACATCCTGGGAAATGAAACTTCAATAGAACAGAAATAGAAACTGAAACTTCAATGGAAATATAGGCAAATGGAAAAACGAAAATTCTCAAACTTAAATGTCAATGCATTACAATTACAGTGACTCAATGCCGACACGGCCTTCAGGAAGACGACGAACTTCAGGCAATGTCAAATTCAGAAATAAATGACAGAAAAAGGACGGCAGCAATAAGTTTAATGAACAACTAGTGTCTGGTTTACCTGGAAGACGACAAATTTCAGGCAATGTCGAAATCGGGAACAATCTTTTTGGGGGAGATTGTTGAAGGAATCGGTGTAGGGTTCGCGATTTCAGAAATTGGTGAAATGGGCAGGTTGATTCAGAGGCTCGTTCACCAGGTGTGGAGGCAATGGGTGGGTCGATTTGCCGGGAGAGGTCGACGGAAGTGGCTTCTTCTTCGAATTGGGGAGAAATGTGTTGGTGTTAGGGATTTCAACTGTATACAATGGCTATTGTCGTGTTTTTTGGGGGAAAAACGCGTCCAACATGGTCGATCTTGACGCCGTCGACGGCCAGGTCAGCTGCCGTTAAGCCACATCAGACGGTTTCAAACGGCTGAAATCGTGGGTGGTGGATGGAGGGGTTAATCCGTAAGTTCAGTGATGGTGGAGAAGCTAAATGAAGTTCAGTGACTATAAGATGACAATGGGCAAAGTTCAGTGACTAATCAAACTTTTTACTCGCCTATCCCGTGTTTTTGCCTGGAAATGGTGAAAACAACATTTTTGTTGTTTTCAGTTTTGTGTGAAAATTTTTTGGTATTTTCGAAAACAAGAAAGAGAACGTGTTTTCGCTATTTGAAAAATCGAAAACAGAAAATGCCTTGAAAACGGCAAAGAGAACATGCCCTAAATAATTGGACACATCTTCTTGCACTGATGAAAGGCATTCATTGTGACAAATAAATCCATAAATGTTTAACTTTACTCGACAGAGATTTTTAAATAAAATAGGAGTATTGATTCTTCATAAATAAATCTTGTTGTCAAATTGTAAAATGAAGGTTAAAGGGATTACTATGAGGGGATTTGGGATCCTTGTACTGTTGTCATTCATAAACACGTAAACTTGTATTTAGTATAATTTGCATTAAGCCTAGCTTATTTAGTTATAATTGTATACTTAGACAATTTAAGTTATAATTTAGTCATAAACACAACCATCACTTTATAATTGTTTCGGTGAAGGTCACGTTACTTAAAATTGAATTAAATCATTCTTTATGGAACGATACTTGGACTCACATTCACGTTATTACTTGTTAACGAACCGTACACTTGCCGTATTTTAAATGAAGACAACTTATATAAATAAGAAAATAAACATGTATAGTAAAAATGGCAATATATACACTTTTTATTATTACAATTGGGTATAATTTCTTAAAGGGCTTCCCATCAACACAAACAAGTAACCGGTTGCCAAGTAAGGTGAGCTTTTCTTTTAGTTTTTATCCATTTGATTCTTCTTGTTTTTCTCTTATGTTGCGGGAAAAAATATTTTCTTTGTTGATTTATAGCCTATTTGACAACCATTATTATAGAAAAAAAGAGTTTGAATAGTGCTATATATGAGAATGTGTGGTTAAAAAGTATGAATTTTTTTTGTATACGTGTAGAATATTTTATTGTGTGAATGCGTGGTTGAAAATGATTCTGTAACAAACCATAAAACATATTAATGGGCGTCAAACAGGCACTCAAAGTCTAGTACGTTTTAGAACACTTTTAAGTTGTCATAAAATATAGATCTGTATAAATTTATTCTATCTTTTGCCCTAATTAAGATTAATTAATAATCAAAGAGAAAATGTATGTATTTTTAAATTTTTTAGTCTATTTTCGTTTAGTACATATGCATTGTTCACAATTTCGTAGATTCTTGCCTATTTTATTTTATTTTTTGTCGGCATGAAAAGTCTTCTGTTCAACCTATTATATGTGCATTTAAAGATACATTAGTTTGTTTTGTTTTTATTCTATAGTTTCTTTTTTCGAGCTTAGGATGCTGGAAACATTTATGGGTTTATGTGTTCAGTGTAGACCAAATTCTTGGACATAGACTTTTGTATTTGATATATACATTGTTGACATGCATATCTTGGTGTGGACGTCTGTAAAAATTATTATAATAATTGTTAGCTCGATTGGATTTTCAAACTTTTCATAAGTGCTTATCTATTATAGGAGCTCCGACTTAGCCATCAGCTCAAATAGCAGCCGTTGCCCGTGTTTTAGTACATTAGTTTAGTGCCATCTATACTGAATTGACTATTTGACTTTATTGCATTATCGGACCCAACTTACCTATTATTTCTTACCAATATTCAGCATGTAATTCGCTGTATGTACAATTACTTGAATACATGGCTATACGTGGACAAGTAATTTGTTATATGCTTAAGGACAATCAATGGGGGCTAAAAGTTTCTAGTTCGACTCTAAAATCAACTGATGGGTGAATAATGCTGAATTAAACTTATCAACTAAAAGTTAAAAAAATCACTTTTTAATTGTTTTAGGTGTTTAGTCAATCAAGTCAATTTTGACCTATGTTAAATTGTCACAATATTTAGAGTAATAAATAACACAAAATTTGATAATGAAGAAAACCCCTAATTTAGGAAAAAACTATGTGACTATGCCAGTCACTTCCACTATAGACAATAAGAATTTATAGTATGGTCTAGCCTAGAAAACTCACTAAAGTCGCAGATCTAATTCCTACAATCTCGAAAACTTGTTGGAACGTGCTTCACTAACACCGTTTTTCGATCTTCTGGAACTGTCTATTTCTTGTAGGTCACCAAGAACATCTTATTCTTGTACTCTTCATTTACTTGCGGTCCAACCTTCCTCAAATTTTATCAACCTTTGAAAGTTATTAAGAAAGTACATTATTGATTGTGCTTAGGAAATGAGTGTTTGAATTATATGAATTTGATGTTTTTTCTCAATTTGTGGTTGATTGATCTCAAGAATAAAAAAATTAATCTCAACATTTGGAAGTGTTCTGTGTTCTTGGATCTTGGATTGATTCAATAAGGATGTAAAATAATGAACAACCACCCAAATGTATTGGGTATTGGGTATTTATAATAAGAGGTATTTGTGTAGCATAGGATAGATAGAGCTTTGAAATTCGTGACTAGGATTTCACGTATAACACCGTCGCTCGAGCTTCCGGCTAATGACGGACGAGGGAGAAATGTGTCGCTCGAGCAATAGGTATGCGACAACAATTCTGTTTTTTTCGCTCGAACATCAGCTAAACAACAAGCTAGCGTAAATTCGGAGACTCCTCCTTGTTTCATACTCAAACCTAAAGACTCCTAATTCATCTATACGACTCTCCAAAAGACTCCTTAACTTTTACAACTCTTTTATAACAATTCTATTATTTTATAATGATCATTTTGTCTAAAGAATTGCTAATACAACATAAATTCTAACAGGGGCAAACTAAATAATCATATAATGATTCATCTACTATTGCTACAATAAAATGTAGGTAATTAAAGAAAGGATGGATGCTTCAAGTAGCTTACCAAAAAAAAAAAAAAATTAGAATTTAATCTTGTTGGAATTTATGGGTTAGTTGATTATTAAAATGTATGAATTGAAAAGTTTCCAATAGGTGCATTGATGGGATGCAACTTTTCAAATGCAATTAGTGCATGATAAAGAGTCATGATCTTTTAATAAGGTGCATTTAGATCATCAATCATGAAATTGTGCCATCTAATAGTTAAAATTAAATTGTTCCAGAAGATATGATCATTCGAAAAAATACATGAAAATCAATAAATAGAAAGCCTCCTAATTCTATTTTCTTCACTCCAAATCAATTTCATATGATTAATATCTAATTCTTTCCTTCTCCAAATTATGTTACATGTTTGATATTTAGTATTCAATATCTCTAGTTCTAAAAAAGCACAGCCAATCATTGTTCATCTTGCAAAAATAATTGTGCTATATTAATTTTGGAATGAGCATTGTATTTTGAGAGACATACGTCCATTTGATCATGTTAGCACCGTTGCAGGGGTGAAATCTGTTTTAAGAAGATTTGTATTCACATACCTCGCTTCATTTCATTCGCTTTTAATTTATATGTTTCAGTAAGTCTCATGTTTTTGCTCTTATCTTGATTTTTCTAAGTCAAAATTCTACTAGATATTTTACATGTATAAATCACCATTTTCTCATCTTTGCATGCACGTAGGTTTGGTTAACGTAATATAATTCATGCAGCAATATATACTCCATTTCTGCTATATGAAGGAAATGACTTCAAATTGTTACGCTTATTGTCATAAAAAGAAATTGGAAATAAGATGTAATAGTTAAAAAATTGATTATCTTATATATCTGGTGTGTTACAGGTTTTTGAGAACGTTGAACAAATGATTGTCATAATTCATCTAACATATAAAACATTGAAAATAAGGCAATCGTTACAACAATCTATATTTGTACCAGGATTGAAATGCAATTTTCAGCACTGTTCGCTTAAATCTAGATAACTTAAATTCCAGAAAATGTTTATAATTAAAATATAATTCAGCTCCTTGGTTGATTTATTAATTTGGATTTTGGTTTAAATTCATGAGAATATGCATTCCATACAAAACCTTGTTAGATATAAAATTGAAATATTATATATCTGAAAGTAGCAAAATACGTACTCCATTTCTCACACTTTGATTGTCTCAATGCAAGAGATTTAAAAACAAAAGCATTAATTCACCTGTCATTCTTGATTTAAACACCGTTCTAGCCTTACTACACAAAAAATGAGCTAATAATATTTACTTTAATACGAGTAATCGGTTACAATTAAGTTGTGTGTCTAGTTTTGACACTAATTTTGAGCGGGACCCGGTTGACTTTTTGAAAGATGGAAATTGATTTGTGTTCTCCTCCGTGAGAACATCGAAATCATATACTTACTTGTCAAAAATGATACTCGGGTGAATGAAAAATTGATGAGTTTGTTGGTGGGAAAATTAAAAAAGTTAAGGTTTATCCCACATAGGAAGTGGATGAGATTTAAAACCACTTTATAAAAGATTACACTTTAGAGTGGTGTAATCATGTGTAGCATAGAGGCTCTCTCCACGTGCGCGCGCAGGGGGTGCAAATCTTGGACCGAAATAGGTTTTGGACCTTAAACTTGTGTGCGGGCACGACCCGCGTACACGAATATCAGACCGAAAGGAGCAAAATTGGCCTCTTAGGAGTGTCCACGTTTTGCTACATTTTTGTTAATTTTCAACAGACTTTTGGTTTTTCAAAACTCCTGAAACTCCTATGTTAATTGCCATTTGTTAATGGGCAGGTTACAAGAGTTAGCATTTATATATGTCTCGTTTTTCCACTGTCCATACACGAAAAATTCATCTGCATATTCATCTGTACATAGTTCCTGTTTCTCTGCATTTTTCGTTCCTGTTCAAGTTGGTGGTGATATATTTCAGACATAAAGTCAGTTCGCCGGAGTAGAATCTGTTATGCTCGGATTTTACTGGTTCCTCCGTTGTATCCTGGGAAGCAGACGATCGTACTATCCTCAAGCACGTACGGTGAGATGACGAATCTATTTTAAGGAAACTGTGTTTGACACAGGCCTCCGGTTAAAAGTGTTATACTGTTTTATTTGTTCTTACTGGATTTGCATATTGTTCTTTTTGTAATTATTTAAATTACTTTTTATTTTTTGCTGCAATCAACAAATTGTTGGATTTTTTATATGTACAATTTATTATACGATATCTAGTCTGTAAATCTGATATTCGATTTTGAAATAATTATCCTACAATTTATAGCGTAAAAATACTATATATTATTGTAGAGTTATATTTGAATTTGTAAAAATCTACCTTGGAACCACCCTTGCATATGCATACTTGCAATAATTACAGGGGAAGACTTAGTTGAATCGAGCGAAACACAAATTGTCCCAAGTATCACAAGCTATGCATCAAATATTTTGATTGACCGCGTTCAAACTCATTGAGAAAGGTTGCAGAGTTTGGCAACCTACAATTTGTCAATGGAATTTGGAATATACTAGGTCGAACAATCAGAAGGGGTCCACTTTGTAGATAATAACTAAAAAATCAAATTTACAGTACGCTTTTCAAGACCATAAGAGTGATCCATTTTCACACTGAATGAAGATTTGCTACGTATTGAACTCTGTGGATGATAGAACGTAGAATATGGAACGTAACTAAATATCAACGAAAAATTAAAACAATAACGAACTTAAATATATCGTTGCCTTTTCTAATTGTTCACTTTTCACATTCTCGTTTTGAATTCATTGAAAAAAAAAATTGACAAAGACCGACTTTTCTAGTGGACCCTTCTTGTTTGGTATATATGGTTGCAAGATGAACAAGTTGCAGTTTGAAGGCCACACCTGATAATAAATATGCCAATATAGTTATAAATAAAATTAATGATTACAATTATGTTAAATTTGAGAATAGACGTGTAAAGTAAATTAAATTGCACGAACATAACTGATTTTGAACAATTAGCACTTATCATTTATAAGTTTATGAATTAAAAAGAGCTTTATTTTTTTAATAAAATTCTATTGCTAAAATTATCTAATGAATTCAAGAATATATTTTATCAAATTAAATTTATAACAAACAAACACAGTAATTAGTTATTTACTTATTTTACTACTTATAATTTAAAATTGGTTTCAACTCTCATAATTCTCGTGGGACCTAAACAATCACCTACTTTGTTTGGGCAGGTAAGCTTGCCTTTCACTGTCCTTTTCGATCTTTTATTATTCCTTCCCCTTTGACATTTCTCACTTATTTCCTTTCATTGCTTCCTTCATATTTTTCTTTTAGCATGTGCTTCATTATTAAAGGGGGAATTTACAAAAACGGCCAATTCAATTCTTGGCAATAGAATTTTATTAGGTATTGATCAAGAATTTTGGGAAAAAAATAAAGAAGATGAAGTAGAAAAGTCATTAATACTATAAAATAATTATATGCATCCATTTCATAAGAAAATCATATAATTTCATTTCTAAAAAATTAATCTTATCCAAATTTGCAGTTGATTAGACTTTGCACAATTCTCGATAGAAGGTAATTTTTCTTTGAAGTCTTTTTTTGTTGATAAGATATGTTTAATAATTGTTATTCTTGACATTTCATGACGTTTTCGACATTTTGAAAGCTGTTATCAACATTTGAATCATATTTATCTTGACATTTAACACTTCATTTGTTTAGAACAAGATTTCATTCTGAATATGAGAGTTTTCTACATTTTATAATATTCTTGATATTTTAAGGTAATTCTCGACATTTCATATATGTTTTATTTACTCACTTACAGTGAAAAGTGAGCATTTAATGTATGATTGACATAATACTTTTTAAAATGAGTATTATAGGTTATGTGTCAAATTATTATTCGTCATTACAATTTTTAATTATGTAAATAATATTGTCTTCATTGTAGAATTTAATATTGTTAATGAGAGCATTTTGATCTATATTATAGTACAATTGACATTGAATAAATTTTGGACATTTTTGTAAATGACTATGTAAAAGTGGACAATTTTTGCAGTTTCCTCTTAATAATTTAATATTACCTGAAATCCGAGAGGAGAATACCCCTAAGAGCTTCTTGAAAATCAATTATTCGATTTGGAGATCCCAACAAGGCTGTCAAAGATGTTACTAAATTTGGGGGTCTCTTGCAAAGAAGAATTTGTAGAGACTTTTCGGGAACCCAAATTCAACATTGCATTTAGGAATAATATTTTGATAAAGAATATGTGGTTAAAAAATAAGATTTTTTTTTTATTTTACGTGTAATATTATTTTATTGAAGAAAGTAATGCTATCTAGTCTCACTGAAATTATAATATCAGTCTACGTTACGTTAATATAGCATTAAATGATAAGTGAAATTAAGTCATTTAATTTCATCTTTAATTAAACATATCACCTAACATCACGTAAACTAAGTAATAATATCACTAGGTTAAATAACATTATTTTATTAAAAAATTTGTGATTTAAAATTAAAAAAAAAAATGAAAAAAAAAGTATTCTGAAAATAAATGTGATCAACGTGGCTTCGCTGTGAAATCAATAATAAGAGGAACGGCAAGAGAAGAAACCTCAGTTTGCGGCCTTCTTCTCCTTCCTCTCTGTGCAGTCTTGTTACCCAAAGCTTAAAAATTTTAGTTACTCCACAGACTTTCTAAAGTAAGTATAATCTTTTTACCATGTGTTAATATGGCTATGTGTGTATTTAAATAAAATATGAATTCTTTTCTGTATGTTGTAGAATGGAAGGAGACACCAATGAAAAACTTTTAAATGGAGCAGAAGAAGAAGAAGAAAATGTTAAGCTCAAGGACAAAATATGGAATGAATCCAAAAAAATGTGGATTGTGGCCGGACCGGGTATTTTTACCCGATTTTCATCATTCGGAGTAAGCGTCATTAGCCAGGCATTTATTGGCCATATTGGCTCCACAGAGCTTGCTGCCTACGCTCTGGTGTCTACTGTTCTACTGAGGTTTGCCAATGGGATTCTGGTACGATACACCATCTTGATCTACCTTAACTTATTCATTGTAGGTTTTTTATTTTTATTTTTTTATTTTTGGCTAAAGCAGAACCAGGATTACCTTTATGCACGTTTCTTGATTAAGAATTCAAGAAAAATAAATTTGATTCTCTGATTATTATTATTATTTCTCAAACCTTAATGCTACACGGTGTGTTTTTAATGATTCACAATTAAATTAGAGAAAAAATTCAATGAACCATAAATTTGAAATATGATAAACAGGTCAACGATTCAATGTTATGTTTATCAAACTAAAAAATGTTTACGGCATTTGTTCAGTTTTCCTGTTTCTGATCTTGCTCAAGTGTATTAATCAATTGAGTGATGCGACACACACACATATTTGCCAGTTCGACTCCACATAAGAGGCTAGAGGAAAATCTTGCGTAGAAGGAGAAACGACATCCGAGACAAAACTTTCTTTCTAATTAGTATATGTTATTTGCTAGAAATTTATATCAAATCATCAACTTTAGCACACACGTATACATCCGAAGTAGTGCTTATCATTTTGTCAAGAAACTGAATTATGAGATCTTGCATTTTTCTATTTCGATTTGCGCAGTTGGGCATGGCCAGTGGATTGGAAACTCTATGTGGACAAGCCTATGGAGCAAAACAGTACCACATGCTTGGGGTATATCTTCAGCGATCATGGCTTGTTTTGGTTGTAACCACAACTCTACTTACACCAATGTTTCTTTTTGCCAATCCGATTTTAAAAGCTTTAGGCCAAGATGAAAGCATCGCAGAAGTGGCCGGAACTATTGGGCTCTGGTTTATTCCTGTGATATACTCCTTTATTATATCATTTAGCTGCCAAATGTTCCTACAGGCACAGAGTAAGAACATGATTATTACATACTTGGCAGCGCTGTCACTATCAATCCACGTCTTTCTCTCGTGGCTTTTAACAGTTAAGTACAAGTTTGGGATTACCGGCGCTATGGTATCCACAATTTTGGCATACTGGATCCCTAACGTGGGTCAGATAATATTTGTTCTCTCTGGAGGATGTCGGGAAACATGGAAAGGTTTTTCGTTTCTAGCCTTCCAGGATCTTTGGCCAATAGTCAAGCTTTCTTTATCATCTGGTGCAATGCTCTGGTTAGGCTCATTTCATTTACATGAACTGTTCTAAAAGTATATTAACCTGCCAAACCACAAGGCCGTGATTTGTTTATACTATAAAATAGTAATATATTGTTATGACATATTGTACATATGTTTCATAGTGTTCATGAGATTCGAGACTGAAATGCCTGGCGTGGAGTCGTGTTTTTAGTATTATAATTCCAGAAGTTATCTTTTTGCTGCCCACGATTTTCAATATATGTCATGTTTTTATATACCTTTTTGTATTATTCCCTAAAAGAAATCAATCATTCAATATGCAATTTTTTATCATAAACCTTTGGTTTCTTGACAGTCTTGAACTTTGGTACAACACAATACTGGTTCTTTTGACCGGAAATCTAAAAAATGCCGAGGTTGCAATTGATGCTCTTTCTATATGGTAACACTTTTTTTCCGTCATTCTTTAATTTGCTTTTCGTCCTAGCATCGTATAAGAATGAAAGTGCACTTTTGTTTTCAGTCTTAACATCAATGGTTGGGAAATGATGATTTCTCTTGGTTTCTTGGCTGCAGCAAGGTATTATAATTGTCCTTATTTTCCTCAAAGACACAAAACTATCTGAGCTTGTATATATTTCATATCGATCTTGCCACTTTTGACGTATCATCAATTACTATATTTTAGTGTTCGTGTCTCAAATGAGCTTGGAAGTGGGAACTCTAAAGCTGCGAAGTTTTCAATCATTGTGACAGTGTTAACGTCATTAGCCATTGGACTAGTTCTATTTGTATTTTTCTTGTTCTTTCGTGGACGTCTAGCTTACATCTTCACTAAAAGTCAAGATGTGGCCAAGGCAGTTGCTCATTTGTCACCTCTCCTGGCATTTTCCATACTCTTGAACAGTGTTCAACCAGTTCTTTCTGGTAAGCTTATGTTTGGTGGTTTGTTACATCATTTATGCATTATTTTCACACAACAATCATTTCTCATCAGGAAGAAAAACTTAAATAATAGCAGCTATAATACGTTGATGAGCTCTTGCTACAATTTTTTTTCCCTCTTATGGTAGGTGTTTCCATAGGGGCTGGACGGCAGAGCACGGTTGCATATGTTAACATAGGATCCTATTACATCATAGGAATTCCTATTGGAGTTGTGCTTGGTTATGTTATCAAACTACAAGTTGAAGTGAGTTTTAATCATTTTGCTTATTCTATCCTTAATGCTCTTTGACATATTCTTATTGACAATTCCCCCAACCCCCGATCTCCACCAAACGTGTACGGGGAAACAAACACAGACACAACACAGAAAAAGGGATAGCAATAATAAAGACAAACACTTGGCTCTTCATCAAAACCAAATAGTTTTTTCTTTCGTTTATATGCACGAACCGGCATGAATTTTTCTTTATGCTATGATCAATAAACATTTTTTTTATGGTTATATTCGACAGGGTGTTTGGATTGGAATGTTATTTGGCACGCTCGTCCAAACTATCATACTTGTAATAATAACTTCCAGAACTGATTGGGATAACCAGGTAACTTGGATTTGTTTTCCCTTTCACTTCTAGTGGTTGTTTTTAAACAATTTGATACCTTGGTATGAAGATTGACCTGCTAACTATGGATATGATGCCGAAAATAGACTAATTTTTACATCACGCTTCAATTTGATTACCTATTCAAATGTCTATTTGTTGTAGGTCGATATTGCTCGTAGACGGGTTAATAGATGGTTTGTGGAAGCTGAAACCGATACAAATTCGAGGTCAGCTGCCTGACGAAAAATTTCCCCTCAGCATTTGTATGTATACCAGTATATGGCCAACAAATTCATGGAGAAATTTCGGAAATCAATCAAAGGCAGATCATATGGATAATCAAGAATCACAAGGCTGAACAATGTACTTAAATGAAGGATAGTTTCCCACCTAAAAGTGAAGGATCATGCGCTAGGAATTGACTGAATTCCAAACTTCAGTTTTTTTTTTCCATTAGTTTATTCGCTTTCCTTAGTTTGTCACAATTGTTTTGCTTATTTGGAAATCACTTGTTTTTTAAGTTATGAATAACATTGTTATAGACAGACTTTGAATCTGTAGATCGTTCTCTTGGCATTTTGGTTCTGAATTTGAAATCATTCTCTTGGCATTTTGGTTCCGAAATCATTGAGTTCTTATCAAGCATCAATCTAGTGAGCACGCTGCATCAATTCGTTTCCCTTATAGGATGTGTTTCGTAAATTTGTATGATACACTTGGATACAAATAAGTAGATTTGACTTAATTTAAACAAAATTACAAGTGACTCAAATTTGGAAACGGACAAAATTCGTTTGTACAATCTTTTACGAGGCTAATCACAACAAATTAAGTGCGTCAAACCAATTGCCAACTAATTGAAGAGGTTAGGTCACCATTTTTTCAATTTGTAAGTCCAATTTTAATAACTATGATTTAGATAGTGGACAAGAATTTTGATTGTTTATAAATTAATCGATCATTTAGCTAGTGTTAAACTTTGGCAGAGCCAGTAACTGGAGTGAAGTCGTAACAGGGTAGCTGAACTGGAAGGTGCGACTGGATCACCTACTTTTCAGTGGAAGCTAATGTTTGTTGGGTATTTTGATTTAACATTGCTTTACACTCAAAACAAAAAGGAGGGAGCTATGTCTAAATTTAATCTTGGAGATTCTTTTTTCATTTTTCGACGTTGAAGTAAGACCAAACTCGTGAGCTTATTATCCTAGATCGAAACAAGCTGATAGGACCTTCTCTCTCTTTTTTTTTTTTTTTTTTTTGCTTTCCCATGTCCCCGACGGGGACATGGGGATGAAATCTAATTAATTCCCTTTCAATGGTGCAAGCCAACTAACTTTCTCTTGGACCAATGCAACTTTACTCTTGGATCCACTTGAGCATGTCTTACAAATTTGCCAGCAGACAAATTTACTATTGGTTACATGTGGGGACCTATTGACATAAACATTAAACTTTGCTTTTAATTCTCTACCTGTTTTCCAAAGGCTTATATTTTTATATTTAAGATATCTACCTTTGAACCCATTTTTTATTACTAAATTATTGTACTGGAATAGACTGATTCAAATTGCATGAAAGAAACGGAAATATAATCGTTACCGCAACTGAGAAAAAAAAGTTGATTTATGATTATATGCACACCACATTTTAATTATATTGAAGGTCATTAATAAGTATTCGTTATCATATTTATATCCTTAACATTTTTCTTCATCACATTATTATTTTTAACATTTTATTAATAAAAAAAACATTGTTCTTAATCATTATTTTCGTCCAAAAATATTATTTATGTACTTTAAAATGAGAATCAAATATTTAATCATATTTTTACTCTTATGTTAAAGAAAATTTTCGAGAAAAGTCATAATCAAGAATAATTTATGTTAATTTGAGTGAATTAGTTCAAAATTATTTAGTGACATTATTTAAATAAATACATAATAAATAATGTATTTATTTGTGTAAAATAAATACATAATAAATTAAATAATTCACCGGCAGATCTTCCAATAGATAATTCCATTGAAAACTATATAAAATAGTAAAATAAATACCAAAGGAAAAAAATTGTTGGTAAACTTTTGAAGCAAAATAAAGAATTTTGTATGCATTGACTATCGAGTTGAGACCAATCGGTCTACCTATCTTTTCTTTTCATTTTCTTTTGAAAATTTAATATGATTTCAAATTGAACTATAGTTCTATTAATTATCTGTTTGATATGCATTATTGAGTGGAGAATGTATTTTAAATAGTGATTTGATGAAAAATATATGGCAAAAAAAATAAAAAATAAAATTTGAATTTGCGTGTAATATTAATCTATATGTACTTATAACTAAGTTAGTCAATTTGAAAAATAAAAATTATATATAAATTTTAAAGAGGTCAATTTTTTTTTTTTTTTTGCTTGGGATAGATCGTGACCGTAGATTATCAAGTTCCAATAACAGACGTTGGATCCTATTATAAAAAGCAAGTTACATCGCATCTATATTCTTCCACAACTACCTTCGTCATCCATATATTAATCTGTTCGATAAAATGTTACAAAAATGGAAATCTTTACATACAATGTGATGCTGTTGGGTTATTTTAAAGTGGATCTTGCTAAAGATTCAAGGAAGGCTTTAGAATTCCTCGTGAAAATGTGGAGAGAAAGAGTTGTACCAACAGAGTTATATTGATTATCTTTAATTTTATTGTGGTCTAATAAAGTCGATTTCTGCTTTAGGTGAAACTAATTATTGTTGTTTTTAGTATGATGGTCTTGTGCCCTTTGATTCACTCGAACCAGAGGTCCCTGTAATTAAGGAATTGAATGGATATGTTGCAATTTCATTTAGATTGTTTGTTATTTTGTACATTAAATTTTGAACTTCAGCAATTTTTTATTTTTTGAGTTTAAACTTTAATACATTAACTTTCCAAGAAAAAAAAAATATTAATATAGTTTTTTTTAAAAAAATTGTAATTCAAATTAGTGACGAAAATAGCAATGCAATGTTGTTGTTGTTGAAAGCAACGACTCCATTCGTAGGTGATTTTCGACGGATAAAGTTGGTGTCAATATCGTTGCTAATTAGCTACGAAAATTACAATTGATATAACACCAACAAATTTTTAAATATTCGTTATACAAGCAACGTATTAACTTGAGCGTCCAAATGCATAAGGTCGTTACACCCCATTTTTCTGTTACGAGAGTTGTAGGTCTTTGTTTCTAATGTGTGTCTACTCCTTTGTTTGATCCCCGTTTTGGAGTAAAATGTGTTTTAAAATAATATTTTTTGAAGGATGCGTGGTTAAAAATTTAGGAAATGTTTTTTATTTACATGTAAAATTATTTTATGAAAGAATGTGTGGATAAAAATCAATTTTGAAACAATGGGGCTCACACATGGGCTAAATGTACAAAGAAATACATTTATGGTGGGTCCCACCAAATTCGAAGTTGAACATGAGTATTAATTGGAATATTCCAAATATAGTTTCAATAAAAAATTTTCATAAAATAATTTTTATCTATAATATTATTTTATAGAAGAATGTGTAATAGCAAAAATTATAGGTTAGCCCATGTTTGATACACATTTTTCAGGAGAGAATATATATTTTTTTTTGTGATGTGACGGTGAATATGTAGTTGAAAAAGAAGAAAAAATTAGAAAAATATTTGAAAAGGTGAACTTTTTGAAAACAATGGGGGCAAAATAGGCATAATTAATTAACGAGTCCATAGTAAGGTAAATGATTTGATGGTACATTGGCAGAATCTCACATGTAGCCCCTGTTTTGAAAAAGTGAACTTTAGCCCTTTTCTGAAAAGGTGAACTTTTCGAAAACAATGGGCTGGTGAGCGTTCCATTTTTGTCTTTTACAAAGTATGAAATCGGACTCTTTGTAAGTATCAGTACGACAGCTCTTATACGCTGACCTGTTGTGATATAAATAATTTGATGGGACACTGGAAGAATCTCACGTGTTCTGCGTAGTCTGATTAATCAATGGACACACCTTTTTATCTGATAAGATGCAATCAAATGATTAGTAATACGGTTTGACAGTAAATAAATAATAAATTATTAATTCCCTTTACCTACTTCATCACCATAACTGTCTGTGCAAATCTCCCGTAATGCCAACCAAATTATTAATTCCCTTTACCTACTTCATCACCATAACTGTCTGTGCAAATCTCCCGTAATGCCAACCAAAATATTGACAATAGTTCTTTGATTGCACTTCAATTCTAAGAAAAATTGAAATTAAATTTCACTTTTCACATTTTTACATATTTAATTGTCCAAATTTTTCATAAAATTGATTTTTTTATCTTTCATCCACATGCTCACATTTTCTTGATTTTTAAGGAAAAGTTTTTCCCGTCACTTTGGTGGAAAAAGCTTTTCTAAGCAACTTTTTTTTGACAATTGAAACAATTTCTATTCTGCAATTGTAACAAATTATATCCCATTAATGGATAATTTTCATGAAAAATAAAATCAAATGAATACCAAAAAATTCAAAATTTCAATATTTTTCAGGTGAAAAATTATACAAATTAAACATAATTAATTGACAATTCCCAAATAAAACAAGTTCTAGATAATTTAATTCTCTTAAATTCATTTTCTTTCCACTCAAATTTCATTCTTTCAATCAAACGGACCCTAACTTCAATCACAAAGATTTTACAAACCAAAACCAATAATTATATAGGTTAATAATATGTAATCTAGCCCCTGTTTGAGTCACATTAAAATTTTCATTCTAATTCTTCTACTCATTTCAATCCACATTGTTCAATAAAATAATATTTTCTACCACATCAATAATTTTTCCTTATTTTTCAACCACACATTCTCCATCAATTTATAATATCCAAAATAATGTGATTCAAACACACACCTAATATAATTGGTGCTACAATATCAACTTAAATGACACTATATGATAAGTTCAAATTTAAGGCCAGTTCTAAAAATTTTGAGACTCTAGACACTAATTAGTGTAAGGCCTTTAAATATAATTCATTTTAGTCCTGCAAAAGCAAAAATGATCTATGGAAGAGCCTTTAGGGTGAAGTTTATTACTCCTTTCTTTTATCCTTCCTTATATTAAATATAAATCGACAATAGTTTTGATCAACAAAAGTGTTTATTTAATGTGAAAATTCTAATCAACTAGCCATTTCGGAATAGAGGGAATAACAATATCCAAATTTTTTGATGTAT